CTTGCTTCGTCATCTCTCATCTCTGGCCATTATTGCTTCGTCATCTCTCTTTCTACGCTCCTCATCTTCTTCCATCTCATTTTGGGCCACCTAGAGATTGAACATTCCTTCTGATTGGTTAAACAATTCTTCCTCTTGCTGATCGATTTCCCACATCATCCTTGAAGAAGAAGACATTGTAAGAAGGAAGCAGAAACTATGAATAATGATAGAGATCTTGAGAAAATTAGTGTGAGATTTCTGAAGATGGATGGTGGATTATATGGAGGATTCAAAAAGTATTAGGTTGTAAATAATGCCACATGGCATGCCATCATTTGTTAAAAATCTGATCGAAATCTATCCTTAAAGATTGTAAACAGGTTGTGACACGTGGCACGTCGTGATTAGTTAAAAATCTTATTGGAAATCTATCCTCAACGATTTTGAAAAGATAAAGACCCGTGGCACGATGACATTGGATAAAAATCTTATCGAAATCCATCACCAATAATTGTCTTTTCGGATAATGACACGTAGCGCAACGAGAACAATTAAAAATCTTATTCGAAATTACAAATAAAATTATTTTGTATTATTTTATAAATAAATAAAAATACTAATATTTTATTACCTATTGCCAGGGCTATTCAATGTAGGGATGAAGATGCAAAAGGAAGTTATTGTTCATTAAGGGCAGTTAATGTTCACTGGGTGGATTAAATAATGAATAGCCCTAGGGGGCCTTAGCAACGGTGGAGTTGCTCTAAGGGGAAATGGTGGGCTTAGCCTCACAATGAGTTAGCAATAACGTGGTTCAAATTCACCTTTGGCGAGAATTGAACTCAAAACCTCTCACTTACAAGTGAAGAAGAATACTACTAGACTGTAGTACTAAGTGACCTCTCTCTATCAAAAAATTTTATATAAGATATAGACGTGACCATTCAAATAGAAGGGAAGATAAAAAAAGAGGGGAGAGAATGTTGTGAGGTTCTTTTGAATGTCTTTCCTTGAGTTTATAATCTTTTCTGCGTGCCTCATTTCTTGGGAGGTTTGTTCATTGTTTCCAGCCAAACATTTATATACAATGTCCTTGAATTGAATTTGAGAGTATCGTTCTTCTGGTCACCTAGTGATCAAGGATTCATGGTTTAGTTGGGTTTAAGAGTCCCGCTCGTTTGGTCAAGCACTTTTGAATTTGACGTCAAGGGTTTGAGTGAACATGCATTTTTTGGTTGCTAAGTGACTAGAGAACATTTTTAAATATGATATACATGTGAAATGATTTTCATTTTTGGCCAATGAGCTAGAGTTGTAGGAATTGGATACTGTTGTTTTCTTAATCGTTTTACAATCAACATAAAATTACATAGCCTGTTTTCCCAATCTTTATTTTATGGACAATTTTCTTAATCGTTTTACAAACAACACAAAATGATATGAGTTTGCTAATCTGTTAATTAAATAAATCACACGTAGATTACCATTACAAGGATTTCTTATGTAAATCACATGACTAGTCTTTTATGAGTTAAAAGTACTTCAGGATCGTGTGATAAACAATTTTCTTTTTTCTTTTTAAATAAAAAATAAAATTTTTGTTTAGTAATAGAGATTTAAGTTTTTTTTTTTTTTCAAAATCAAGCCAAATTTGGGAATATTTCGAAAATCAATCTTAATTTTAGTTTAGTGGTGCTAATAGTGGTGAGATATAGATATAGTGGTGACAACAGTGGAGTAGAAAGTAATTGTGTTAACAATGGTTATGAGGGATAGTTGCGGAAATTGTGGTTAACAGGTGGCCAGAATGATTGTGATGGAGCGATGGGGATGGTGGTGGCCATAGCAAGAGTGATAGCAATGTAGAATGTAGTTGTGGTAGCGATGGTGGTGGAAGTGGTGGTGGCTAATAGCGGCGGTGGTGATGGCCACAATAGTGAGATGGTAGAGGTGGTGGTGGCCATGGTGACCGAAGGGGGAGGTGATGGTAGTGTATAATATGGTGGTGATGGTGGCGGCGGCGTCAATAACAGCGGTGAGGGTGGTGTAGCGTCAAAGATGGTAATGATGGTGAGATGGTGGAGGTAATGGTAGCCATGGTGGTGCGGGTGATAGAGTTGGAGAATGTTGAGGTGGTAATGGTGGTGGCGCCAATTGTGGCATGCATGATTTGATTTTTTTGATTAAAACTCTAACTCTATTTTATAATGTACCTTTGATTTTCTATTATTTTGAAAACTATTCTTGAAAAACAGAGGAAACATCATTTTGATGTTTTATAGAACTTAGGCTAAATTTAGTCTTCTACGTTTTTTTTTGCTTAATTTGTTTTCACAAAATAATTTGCCAAACACAGTTCCCACCTGTATTTGTATCTGCAAAACAAACAAATTTTTTTTTTTTTGCAGGACGGTAACAAACAGAGCCTACGTTTTACAAATTCTAAACACTAGGTAAAGGGTACGTGTCCACTTGACTCATTTTTCCTTTAAAAATGAACGTAGAGAAATGTTGTTTTAACCACTCACTATTGAACATGATATATAGCATATATAATGAGTAAATATAGTCTTAACTTTCATTCTTAATATCAAATATAACAGTGAATGACCACTAATGCGACTCTTGAAATCATAACCACAAGGTTATTATAAACAAGTTTTTGATCAAAGAAGTAGATTTGATACACATACTAGAGAAATACTAGGAATACTCTCTTAAAGTGCGGCTCTTTATGAATTCCCTGTTATAACAATAATGTTAATTCATGTGCCAACATTATAAAATATTGTGTCAATAATGTGAGTTCAAGTGACAAAATTTACAGAAAGTTCTACTTTTAAAAGTATCTTTACATACCAAACCACGTGCGTAAATAGTGCATCTTGGTTGGGCTCAGCTCAACTAGTGGGAGACTAGAAGCAGAGGATTAGAGCTCACGTGACGGACGGGTGCGTTGTAGGCGAGATTTGGGCGGTATTGAAAGGATGACACGATTTTCAGGCAAGGCAACCAAACAAAGCCACAGAAAATGTCGAACCACTCAACATTCAACAATACACGATTTTCCTTATTTATTTATTTTTAAATTTTTCACAGAAGCAGACGTCTAGATATTGCAATTATTCAAACGTACGCACATTTCTTCCGGTAACTTGTTGGACCAACTTTAACAGTAAGCAATAAGTAACGGCACTCATGCGTGGAGATCAAGTTTTCTGCACTTAAAATAGGTGCAGCTATCTTGGGGCTCTAATTATTGACTGACATGTATTTTTAAATTTACTATTTATTAATTTTTATCATAAACTTAAGGGCTTGTTTGGATGTATTTTTAAACTTACTCAAAGCACTTTTAGAGAAAATATTTTTTTTTGTTCCAAAAACACTTAAAATGCTTTTCCAGAATTTACTTGCATTTTTACTAAGAATTGATTCCAAAAACATTTTTACCATAAGCGCCACTTTCAGTCATTTCAAAAGCACATTCAAACGAGCTCTTAATATGTGTCAAACAATTATTAAGGCCACAAAAAGGCAACACTTATTTTGGGTGCATAAGATTTTATCTCTAATGGATGCACTTAACATGTGTTTTTTTGTTTTTAAACAAACGATATTATCTACAGAAAATAGAAGAAGTAGACTTAGCATCACAATGAGTTAGCAATAATGTGTGTGAGTTAGCAATAATGTGATTCAAATTCAATTTTGACGATAATCAAATATAAGATCTCTCGCTTAATTGCACAAAAAATAAAAGGTTATCACTTATCATTCTCTACCAAACATGCCAATTGGTTAAAGAATTGCCGTGCATGAAGATTATGAACTCTATTTGTTAAAATTATTAAAGAGAATGATAGACACACATATTTTTTTTAATCTCTTACATATTTTAAAGAGAATGATAGTAAAGAATAAATGAAAAATGTGTGAAAAGTAATAAACAAAGTGGTTATAAAAAAAAAGGGGTATAATAAGCTAAAACCGATATGTGAATATCAGCCCTCGTGTATAAAAATGTCTCAATTAAATATCTCTTCAATAAAAAAAGGTTAAGCTATTCACACATCCCATTTTATTTCTTACACACTTTTGATAATTTTTGTTCATTGATTTTCTTCAATTAACACGATTCGATGGTCAAAAATCAAAATGAGTGAGTGGAAAGTAAAAATGAATGTGTAAGTAGTACTACCCTAAAAAAAATCTATATATTACCTACTAATATTTTTTTTCTTCCTTCAGAGGAACTTCACCAATATTTGTGGCAAAATCTGGCTATTTCACGTACCAAATGTTCCCTCCCCTTCCTAAAAGCACACCCCGAAGAAAATTTAAGAGTGTGTTTGGTAATCTACTTGAATCTAACTTTTTAAACTCAAAAATAATTTTCAAGTTTTAGGCCTTAAAAACTTGTTTGATATGACTATTTTCAAAATCTGAACTCAAGACTAACTAAAAAGTATATGCTGTTCTCTAAAAACATAAAAAGTGAATTTTTAAACTTAAACTCACTTATTTCTTTTCTCTCCCTCCTCCTCTCACTCCAAATCTATCTCTCTCTCCTCTTTTTATTTTTTTATTTTTTATTTTTTACCTTTTTCGTCTCTCCTTCAATCTGCTTTCTTCATTTTCTCCGTTCTTTCTCACTCCTCTTTCTCTCTATCTCATCTAATCTTCTCTCTTCTTTATTTTTCCTTCAATCATTTCTTACTTTCTTTCATCCTCTCTTCTCTTTCTCCCTCTCCTGCAACCCCTTCTTCTTATATCTCTTTGTTTAGTTTATGTCGTAAGATTTAAAAATTTTAAATCGCAAACTAATCAAGCTTTTGAATCTTAAAAAAGATTGTTTTCAAAAAATGTTATTAAGAAATATTTTAAAAAAATGATAAAAAATTTTAAATACAATACCAAAAAGGCCATAATGTATTTAAATTTGTAAGTTTTTTATTTTGCCATAATTTATGAATTATTACTATTCTTTTATTTTTTTTGTCTCTCTGGGAAAGACCAAAATTTTATGCTCAAGTGGAAAGTGGGTGGAGAGCCCTCCTGTCTGTCTCTCCTGAGTCAAACTTCTTAGGACATGAGCTGTTGATGCAGCAGGCACTCTGTTGAATTGTACAACTACCACCCCAGAAGAGTAAAGTGGTGGCGGAGCAGCCGCTTCCTCCTCCTGATCGCCGCCCCAAGGTCTCAAAATTTGCTCCTTTTCCCCTTCAATTTCGTTTCAACTTCTAGTAATGAAGTTTCCCTTTTGGGTTTTTTCTCAATTGAATTTCTTTGTTTGGTTTTTCGATGTAGATTTTTTTTCTTCTCTTTCTTCGTTTTTGCTCATTTGGCCGATACCAAACAGTTCCCAGCTGCCGTCAGAGGCTTGCAATCACAAAAGGGTCAACCTTTTTGCTGGTTCTGTTCTGCATCAAGTGGTGGTATTTAGAAGTGGGTATACAATCCGCCATGGCTGATGGCAGTCCTAGGACTGATATCTCTACAGATGGGGAGACAGATGATAAGAATCGAAGGGTACTCTCTCTATTTCTCTCTCTCTCTCTCTCTCTCACTAAATTTGGGTCATACCAACTATTAAGAATCACTTGTTTTCTTCATTTCTGCTGAGTGGAACATTTGGTAGATGTTAACTCGTTTTTGTTGGCCATCTGACATTTTGATCACTCTCTGTATGTGCAGTTTGATAGAGACCAATATGCCATTGCTCCTGTGGCTTCTGATTCCAGTGACAAATCGAAAGATCCAAAAGATCAGAAGGTGATGTATAGGAAATCGATTACAAAGTTATGATATGTGAGTTGATCTGGCAGTGCCAAGATGCTCATTTGTTCGATTGCATTTTGCAGACTCTCCGTCGGCTGGCTCAAAATCGTGAGGCTGCTAGGAAAAGCCGGCTGAGGAAGAAAGTAAGGCCTTATTTTACTTTGTTTAAGTATATTATCTTTATTCATTTGCTCAATTACATTTCTTTTGCAGTTTGCCTTGATATATATTTAGCTTTACTTTTGTAAGTTCTAAGTGAAGTGACGACTGCTCAAAAACATGGTCGTGATTTTAGTGGAAATGGGATATTTAAAATATAGTTTTGATGGCAGCCCTCATTTCCACTTATTTAGTAGATTTATATCCTTAGTTGTTTGGGAAACATTAGGATAGACAATGAGTTACACACACGTGTCAGGTCTAATACGATAAATCTAGCAGCTACTCCTTGTCCTAGCTCTGTGGATAATAAAAGCCAGCTGACGGTGAAGGTAAGGTCTGATGATCTATATCCTTAGTTGTTTGAGAAACAATAGGATAGACAATGAGTTACACAATAGCACTTGTCAGGTCTAATATGATAAATCTATCAGCTACTGCTTGTCCTAGCTTTGTGGATAATCAAAGCCAGTTGACGGTGAAAGAAAGGTTTAATGATTTATATCCTTAGTTGTTTGAGAAACAATAGTATAGACAATGAGTTAAACAATAGCACGTGTCAGGTCTAATATGATAAATCTATCAGCTACTCCTTGTCCTAGCTTTGTGGATAGCGGATGGTGAAAGAAAGGTCTGATGATTTTGATGCTCACGTGGGTTTTCATTTTCCTACCTAACTGTCTGTTTTTGTTTGTTTCCTTATCTGGCATGATTTCTTAACATTTTAGCGTAACGGTTAAAATTCAAATTTTTTTCATCATGAGCACTTCTTGAGATTGTGGATTTCAACTTTCTAATACAACCGGTCACCATTTCTTCATTTGCCTTGTTTACCTTTCCTGGTTTCAAGTCTTTGGCACATGCATCTTATAAAGCTTTGCTTCCTTCTACTCGTTTTATATCAACAAGTAATCTTAGAATCAGGAGCTGAATGCGGAACTAAGTTATGGAAAATGGGTCCTGGCCAACTTTATTGGCTATAAGTTATAGCTGTGAGCTGAGATAAGCTTAACATGTCCTAACCTATCTAATCTGTTATAGTTCTGGTGACATCGATTCATCATGGCTTAACAGCATATCCGAAATTTAACCTCATCTGGGAAAAGCTTGGTTAGTTTAAAACTCAACTTCTAGTTTGCACATGTGCAACTTCAAATATAGAATTCTAAGGGATCAAATAGGAAATGATACTCTAAATCATAGAACTATAATGAAGTTACCGTTCCAAAAAGCAGCCTAGGCGCTAGGCAAAGGCCAGGGGCCTGGATTAGGGCCTAGGTGTTTAGTAAATCGGTGAAGGCTTTAGGCGGCAATTAGGTGGCTGCCTAGGCTGTCTAGATGGCTCTAGGCGGTCCTAGGCGGTTAAATTTTTATTTTATTTTATTCTTTTTAGGTTAAAAGGTTTGAAATTAATTTTCTTGTAAAATAATTCTTGACCGTCTTTCATGTAAAATAACATTGAATACATATTTCATTTTATGTATTCAATCAATTGTAGTCACTTATTTATATGTTTTTATTGTTTATAATAAACTTAACTGAAATATAAAAAAAAAACCCCACCTAGACCCCTAGGACTAGGCCCTTGCCTGTCGCCTGACTAGCGCCTAGCGCTTTTTAGAACCTTAATGAAGCATACGATCAACCAACATTTTTCCAATTGGTTGTTTGGACAAAGCACATCTTTGTATGCATGTTATAGTTGATATAATTCAAATGCTTAGCAATCATCATTTCCCATTTGAGTGTGGTTGGATCCATAACTCACATTTCACCTTGATATATTGTCACGTTAGCTTCTCTCTTGCCTTGTGAATGCCAAAAAGTCTTCTTTAAGTAGTACTATCAGCTTGATACTGCCACAGGTCGATCACCTTCATACTTTCATACTTGAGTCTGTCTCTTACAGCTAGATCCTAGATTTCTTGGTATATTTCAATTGTTAGCTTTTTTTTAGCTGGGATTCTAGATTTGGTGTGGAAATAGTAAGCCCAATGTCTGTCCTGCATTCCCTGCTAACAAAATCGTGGTATGGTTTGAGCATGGATGCTAGATGAGCAATTATTGCTCTCTAGTAATTTGGTAATCAAATCTATAATGAGTGTGTCTGGCATTTTGCTTGTTATATTTTTGTTTTATGAGAGTGGAAGCTGAATTCGCTGGGTCTCTTGTTTTATATTGCCTTGTCTGAATTTTTTTATTACTGAATCCTCTCATAAGCATACTTTCTCGTGTTACATTAAAAAAATAAATAGAAATGCATAGATCTGCATATTTATGTTTGAGCCCTTTTGCTACTTTCATGCCTAGTTTTCTTGCAAGTCTTTAATGGATTGTATCTGTGCTTGTCGACTATAGGCTTATGTTCAGCAGCTGGAGAGTAGTCGTCTGAAACTGACTCAACTAGAGCAAGAGCTCCAGCGAGCCAGACAGCAGGTTAAAGCAATCAGTTTCTTTACTATTGTAAAACCTAATGTATTCAAAGCCATAGATTTTCGGTGGATGACCTCTTTGTTGGGTTTTCATCTTGCATCTCTCCTAAAGTTATATTGGTCTTTTGTTCAGGGAATCTTCATATCAAACTCAGGGGATGCTGCCCATTCAAATAGTGGAAATGGTATTTCTTCTTTCCTGAGTTTATTTTTGAAATTTTATCATTGAAGTAAGGGAGACTAGCTCCTGATAATTGTGGGATAAACTTTCCATCAATTTATACTTGTAAGTCAAATTGAGATGATTCCGTATCAATGGTTTTTTTGATACCTATTTGTATGAAACAATTATACTCAGGAGAAAGATTGTGTTGAAACACTATATGCCATGAGTAGTTCACACTTCACACGCATGATAATGCTCTATTGGAAATAGGAAAAGGAAACTACTCCCTGTCGGTTGTAATTGTTCACAAACACAATCAGAAGATTTTAGTAGCAACTTTTAGGGGAATTCTTGAATGTTTGTGTAGGGTACAGAGGTTGAATTGGTTAAGGAATTGTTGAGGATGAAGAGTGGCATTTATGTTTGATTGGGTATACTAGATTAATGGGAGTTATTTATGGTGGTTGCATTGGTGAACGCTGACTGAGTGCATTATTGCAGTACATGGCCCTGGTGACAGTGATCTAGTAGTTAGTGACAAGGTTGTCTTCAACATTCTGATGGGTGGTTCCTGATTTCCTTACTGATAAGCTCTGGAATCTAATAACAATCAGATTTTCATTCTTGGCAGATCATATATGTTGAACTTACCAGGAAAAGAACCAAACCGACAGCATTATATTGCTTAAAGAAACAAATCTTTTTTCAGGGTTATTCTTTATTTTTTCTCCTTTAATGAAATTTGTTGTGGGTAAGTTTACCAAACAAATTTTTTTGGTGGGGATATGGAAATGAAGTCAGATTTTGGGAAGGCATTTAGGAGAGTCAGCTCTTTCCAATCGTTATTTTATATTTTCTGCTTTTTTTTTTTTTTTTTTTTTCCAACTGCAACATAGTTCTCTTCTTTGTCTTCGATCGTCATATTCTATTGGAATTTAAAGTTCTGAAGAGTGAGAGGTCCACTAATGTACAGCATTATCTATGGTCTGTTACTCATTTGGTAGCTTTTCTTGTACATATTTTTTCTTAAAATTGGTACAATCAACCTGATCCTTCCTTTAAGCCATTTAAGTTGATTTGGAAGGCTGATGATCCAGCAAGGGTGCAAACTCTCACATGGCTGCTGGAGCATGAGCGATTAGATATTTATGCAGGATCCAAAGAAGGTCCTATGCTTGCTGATCGCCATACATATTGGATTGTGTTATATGAATGCAAGGGGAGAATGCTGACTACATTTATGTTCACTTTCTTTTTACTAGGCATATCTGGCATCACTTGTTGGAACCATTGATAATGGGTGTGTCTGAGAAGCTGTTTTAATTTTTGTCACGGGGTTTTTTTGTTGAGGGCCTAGCATGTTCACCTCTTGGAGATATGCTGTTTTGGCTCTCATGAGGAGCGTTTGGCTGGAAGTAATAGGAGGTTCTTTGAGGACAGTAAGGTGGATGCAAATTGCAAAGTTACTCCGGGATTAAATTAGATATTAAGCTTCTATGGTGTAGTTGAAAATGTATTTCAAAAGGCTTTCCTTGTACTGTATTATTTTTTATTGAGGCGCTTGATGTTTGATAGTTTTGTGGTCATGTTTCGGATGGTTAAATAAGATGCTGACAGATTTCTTGTTTGTTTGATCTGAATTCAAACTCCCCCAGTACATATAAAGTTTCCTGTAAACTGCCTCTACCTTCTTCTCCTACAGTCCCGTCATCAGCATCTTTTAGTTTCTAAGATATAAAATCTCCACTTGCACGAGGGAAGCAATTTTAACATGCGTGAGAGGGCAGTATTCCAATTTATGAGCCTCTAGATATTTTGGTGATTTGGTCTTAAGAAAGTTTAAGGATAATAATACTAATTTTATGTTTTAAGATACATTTGAAGTAGAATATGGAATTCCTTCAGTTGCATCAAGCAGTGATAAAGTTATTGTGATTGACACATATTCTGTTTAAATTTTTTAAAATAGGCATTTTAGGTGCACTAATATTTATTTGCATGCAGACAGGCTACGGAAAAAAATTAAAGTTTTATCTTGCTTTTTAAATTGGTCCTCTTCACTTAATTTAGTGCCAGTGGATGAGGTGGGTTATCTTGTTCACTGTATCTCCTTGCAGGGGCCATGGCATTTGATGTAGAATATGGACGCTGGCAGGAAGAGCACAATCGGCAAATTAATGAACTAAGATCAGCAGTAAACTCTCATGCAAGTGATACAGAGCTTCGTATTATTGTAGATGGAGTCTTGGCGCACTATGATGAGGTCTTTAGGCTGAAGGGCACAGCAGCTAAAGCTGATGTATTCCATTTGTTGTCTGGTATGTGGAAAACACCTGCTGAGAGGTGTTTCTTGTGGCTTGGAGGTTTTCGTTCATCTGAGCTCCTGAAGGTGAAGCTCTTTCTCATTTCTTGATGGCTTTGATGTCATAGGCAGATTGGTAATGTTGTTAAATTAAATGTTCCGTATAAGTACTCTACCATAGTTCAGTGTAGTCATTTTGACTGCTAAAATGTACAAAAATATAAAATTCATGCAACTTCAAGTACAAATTGATGAAGTTATATGTGGTGCGAGTCTTGTTTGTAGGTCAATCCAATCCCTAAGGTTCTGGATAAAGACTTTCATTTCTGCCCATTTTCGGGTTTCAAATTTCGTTATTTTTTTTGAGAAGAAACAAAACATTTTATAGAAGAAGTGAGAAATACATTGGAGTGGATAAGAAATCCACCATTAACAAGAAACAAGAAAAAACTCTCACTAGGATTTGGCTACAGCAACAATAGCTAGACCTAACTCACTTTACTGCTGCTAACAAATCCCACAGTAATTGAGAAATAGAGTAATTATTAAAGACATTTGAGACTGAAGCCCAAAGGGCTGCCCAATATTTTACTCTTCCCCAAAGTACTTCTACCCCCACACCTGTATAATCCTCAAAAATTCTTTTGTTACGCTCCAGCCAAATGTTCCAAAAAACTGCCGAGACCAGACAACCCCACAAAGCTTTAGCTTCCTCCCACTTCCTAGGGCCTGAAACTTGGTGCTTAGAAGCTCGAAACAACCCTTTGGAATGACCCAACTAGCTCTAACCTCCTGAAACAGTTTCCACCACAGCTGAATCGTGTAAGAACAATGGAGAAAAATGTGGTTTACACTCTCCTCCTTTGCTTTGCACAAACTGCACCATTGTGGGGATAAGCAAATAAAAGGGCTTCTCCTTTGAATTTGGTCACAAGTGTTGAGCTTTCCCTTTGGCCGCCAGCCATACAAGAATCTTAACCTTTGGAGGAACTTTTGATTTCCAAATCTGTGAATGGGGTGGGAAGTATTGCATCATCCCATTGTTACTCAAGAAGGAACAATAGGATTTGCACATGTGAAACAATCCTGATGCTTCCATTTTCCACCTTCTGTTATCCGTTCTTGATTGAGACAATCGGACCTCTTCCACTTTCTGTAATAATCTAGCCGCCTCTTCTATCTCCGCCTCATTCAAATTTCTCCTGAAATCAAAATTCCAACTTAAAGAATTGGTAGAAAGATCTACAAAGCTTGAAATGTTCTGATTGTGCTTCCTCGATAGCAGGAATAATCTAGGAAATTGCTCTTTCAATGGTCCTCCATCTAACCACCCATCCTCCCAAAACCTCACCCTCTCCCCGTTGCCCACCTCGAACTTACAGCAGTGAAGAAACAATTGGGAACCACTCGATATATCTTTCCATGGGCTACGGCTTGAACCCCTTATCGGAAGAAATGCGATCCATCCGTTATTCTGTAGCCCATATTTGCTTCTTATCACTTTGTGCCAGAGAGAATGAGGTTCCTTTGGGAATCTCCACAACCACTTAGCAAGTAATGCTTCATTCCGATTCCTCAAATTCCCCACCCCTAAACCTCCTTCCTCTTTACTTTTAATAACTATCTCCCATTTTACCAGGTTGTTTTTCTTTCCTTCCTCCACACCTTCCCACAAAAATCCTTTCATTAGTTTTTCTAGGCGTCCAATCACCCCGCAAGGCATTTTGAACAGAGACATGTAGTAGGTCGGCAAGCTTCCCAAAACAGATTGAATCAGAGTTAATCTACCTCCTCTGGATAAGAAGGCCTTCTTCCAACTTTGAAGTCTTTTTCCATCTTTTCTACCACTGGATCCCAAAACTTGAGTGCTCTTGGCCTACCCCCAAGAGGGAGTCCCAAATACTTTATAGGCCAGCTACCTACCTCACAACCCCAAGAATCCGCCAACCTATTTAATTTCTCACAATCTGAATTTATTCCAGCCAAATAACACTTAGCTTTGTTGATTTTCAACTAATCTGTCACTCATAAAGATGGAAATATCTCCTTTGGTTTTGTCTTTAACGTATCTTCTTTAAATATACTCTTTGTTGGATTCAGTCATACAGGCTAAATAGTCAGATATTTTTATCCCCACTTTACTGTGGAACGGATAAAGACTTGGCATAAAGAGGCATCTGATTTTCCAACTTCACTACTACGGAGGTTGATATTTATGTATATATGCATGTTCATGCACTTTTAGGGATCTCTATGTGCTTGCTTTTTTTCGTTTGCTAGAAGTTTCAACTCACGCTCTGCACATTTCCTTGAATTTTTTTTCTTTTATAGGTATGCATGAATTTGTTTTGTATGTGACGTCTTCAATATTGTGTTGGTCTTAATCCCTTCTATAAAATTTAAAATGAACGAGTATATGTGCAGCTTCTTGTTACTCAGTTGGAGCCTCTGACGGAGCAGCAGTTGGTTGGGATTAACAACTTGCAGCAGTCCTCCCAACAGGCAGAAGATGCATTATCTCAAGGGATGGAGGCATTGCAACAATCTCTAGCTGAAACTTTGTCCAGTGGATCTCTTGGCTCCTCGGGTAACTCGGGAAATGTAGCTAACTACATGGGTCAAATGGCCATGGCAATGGGAAAGCTAGGAACCCTTGAAGGGTTTATCCGCCAGGTAATTCATTATAGTTCTTTATCGTTTACCCGTTTGTGTAGTCAGTACTGTAGCATGTCACACATATGGTAATCATCGATGTGAAACTGTTATGCGTAAATACAACAAAGAATAAGATTGGACAAAAACCAATTGCTCCATTGACCAGTCCCGCCTGTTAACTTCTGAAATGTGAGAATGCTAAAACAGATTGATATTTGGATGATCTCTGAAATATGTATCATTTGAAAGCTATATGGCTATCATTTTTATTCTACAAGCTAACGTGATTGGGGTTTATGAAGAATTAGTATAGATTACCCACCAACCTGTCAAAACCTCTTGTCATTATTTCGGACTGTGTTATGGATGTAAGACTAGGCATGAATTTGTTTTACGCGCCTAAAGGTTTATTTGGTAAGATATGTTGTTCATTTGCAAAATTCGATATTGTCACACTGCTGAAAGATAACAAAATACAAGTATTCAGTTTCACTGTTTTTCGTGTGTGCACTCTTGCTCTGTTATAACTTAAAGTGCCTAATCTGTTCATGGGCTTGTAACATCAGGCTGACAATTTACGGCAACAAACACTGCAACAAATGCACCGTATCTTGACAACCCGCCAGTCAGCTCGTGCACTTTTGGCTATACATGATTATTTCTCACGGCTACGCGCTCTTAGTTCTCTCTGGCTTGCCCGCCCAAGAGAGTGAAATGCTCCCAACCTGATTGGTAAATCTGTGGCCTGCAAGGCATCTGAATAGCAATTGACTCTCTCTAGTACAGCACCAGGGTTACTTGGTTATCATTACAAATTTTCTTTTATAGATTTTCTCTGATGCTGTAGCTGCAGAAATTGTATCGTTAGTGCTAATCCTGTAATTCTGTAATTTATTACCGTCATTTTAGTCATCGTAGGATCGAGTAATGCTTATTATTGTTAATAATTATAGTCTTATGATTTGTGTAATTGTAATTTGTGACCGAGTTTCGAAATGAATTTTGGATTAAGGAAATGCATGATGGTTTTGACTAGTTTTTAACATTCAAGTTGTCTGCTAATTACAGCAGTTGATTGCAAAGAACATGATACATTACTTATGGCCCTGTGGCTATGTTATTCTCGTTTTGTAGTGGCAGAATTTTTGCAGTTATCTGCCAACTAGTTTCGTGTAACGATCCTAGAGAGGCGAGATTGTTGTTGAAACCAGTCCTCAATTTGCTAGATTGTTTGTTTTGATAAGACGATTTTATAAAGTACACAAATTTTTGGGAAGTAGATCGAACTTGGATGCAAGGAAACGAGCACATGGCCTTGACTATAATATTCAATTGGAAAAGTCATGGCTTTTATTTTCTTCAGAAAACTTGATTGTCATCCTCAGAAAAAGACAACATTGTATTCATTGGTTATTATTGTACCGACAGTGGGAGAGAGGGTACCAAACTTGGAACCTTTAGAGTGCAGGGATTAATGCTCTTAGCCGCTCGACGCACAAGCTCCTTGTAAACCTAATGTTCACGTTACTATATACATTCAATCATGACAATGTACCTAACAAAAAGGATCACAGTCAAAATCTAATTTGACAATATGAGTATTGGTAAATATTTTATTTTCTTGAGGATGCAAATGTAAATCACTTTTTGTTTTGTTTTTGCTAGGTAATCATGTGTAGTGTAGTACAATTTCTTTTCTATTCTCAACTGTAATGTTTTTGTCCCAAGGGAGGATATGATACTAATTAGTAACGAACTCACCATTCACGAGGTTCAAATTTAAGATCTCATACTTATAAGTAAAATGGAATACAAATATATCTTTTAGCCTTGTGTGGACCTCCTTCCTCCCGAGAAATTTTTAATTGTGACAGGAACACAAATAATATATCACGTGTTTTAATAGGAATAGTGAGAAATTTTATTTTTTAAGTTATTAACTTTTTAGCACACATATATCATTATTTATTTAATGACACATGATCGTTCTCAGAATCCGAAGCGGTGGACATTGTGTTTGCTTGGTATCTACAAACATTTTTAATTTTAAAAATGGAGAAATATGAAGGCAATCTATTCACAATTGCAAAGTCCTAAGTGCTAGGGCTAGGAGGTGCATGCTCGGATATGTCGTGAACCTAGGCCTCGGGCACCTAAACGTCTCCCGACCATTGCTTTGGAAGGGTGCAGACGGGACAAGGTCGAGCGACTGACAGCAATGAGTCAGGAACACCCGAGACGCTTCCTCTGGCCGAGCACCATTTGAAGAGCCGACCGATCCTTGCAACTTCATGCCTAAGAAAGCGACCAGGATTGTCTGCCTTCTTTTTTTTCTTTATGACATTTTATGTTTTTTGTTTTGTGTAATCATAATTAAGTTATGTTAATATTTTATATTATTTTTTTTATAAAGATAATAAGATAAAAATAAATAGTAATATAAAATGTTGACGTGGCTTAACCGTGACTACAAGAGGGCATGAAAGGGCATGGAAAAATGGAGGGCGGACAATCCTTGTCCAACAAGAACCCTTGATTAAGGAGTTTGGGGACTTATTTATGGACAAGGATTGTCTGCCCTCCTTGTTCCCGTGCCTTCCCATGCCCTCTTGTTTGTGTGGTCACGGTTAAGCCACGTCAACATTTTATATTACTATTCATTTTTGTCTTATTATCTTTATAAAAAATAATATAAAATGTTGACGTAGTTTAACCGTGACCACACAAAACAGGAAGGCACGAGAGAGCATGAGAATAAGGAGTGCAGAAAATTATTGTCCCTTATTTATGTTGGGCAACTTTAGGCCCACATAATGGTAAATGTCACTTCACCGCCAAGCATTTGGTTGATAGGTGGAAATGTGTCAATATGCTAGTCTACATAGGTAGCACATTAAATGCAAAGTTGGGAACCCAAGGCTGAGGGGTTCATTGATGGCCTATATAAAGGGGTGAGAACCTCCTGTATTGAGTCAGACGACTGAAAGAAAAGAAAGTTCATGTATTAGCTGGATGCTATTTTTAGTCTTGAAACCAATATAATCTAAGCAAAACTGTGGAAGTAGCTGAGTTTTGATGGATGAACCACTTAAACTTTTGAGTTCATTTCATTTCAGTTCATATCTCAAGCCCACTAAAAGTTTAGTTTTTAATTTATTAACCTGCAAATATTGATCGTTAACACATGTAATAAGTACATTGTTTAAGACTCTTAAGTACATTGTATATACATTTAGTCATGATAATGTACCTAAAAAAATGGATCACAGTCAAAATCTAATTTGACAATATGGGTAATGCTAAATATTTTATTTTGGATGCAAATGTGAATTCTTCTTTGTTTTTGTTTTTGCTAGGCAATCATGTGTGACACGATTTCTTTTTTATTTTTCGTCCTTTTGGAATCAAGGGATGATACATTTACTAAGTGGTAGACAAAATAAATTGATAACGAACTCACCATCACGAGATTTAAGTATACCCTTTCATATTTACAAGTAAAAAAAAGATAGATCGTAGTACTAAATGATCATATCTTTTCATTGTCGAATATAATAATATTACTTACTATTTTGTTAAAGAAAAAAAGGGTCCAGCTACAATTATAGAAGATTTAACTGTTAAAAAGGCTCATTAGATTTCTATACGTAAGATTTAATCGTTTAGTTTTTTTTAGACCACACGATAGTATATACCATGAAAGAAAGTATAGAAATGGATTTTTTTTTTTTTTGTTATGTTTAGTGTGTATGTGACTGGGATCCCAATTGAATGCATAAATGGATCGGTGTTTGACGCTGAACTTCGGGAGATAACTTGCCACTAATGTAACTTTCTCGAAGGTCAAGCCTAACCTGACTTTCCACAACGATTTCATTTCTTAAAGTCCAAATCAAGGAAGAAAATATCGGTAATATCGGAAATATCGGTAGTCCGAAAACACGGAAATATCGGGATAATATCGATATTGATAAAAATTACATGGAAACCACGGAAATTATAAGAAAAACTTGGAAATTTTTAGTGAAACTTTGCAGGATGTTTATTTAGTCAATTATCTATTAGTTTATCACAAAAAATTGGAAGGAAATGCATTGCATGATGGATTTAACATTATCAAGTTGATTATATAGCGAGCTGACAAACATTGTGAGTGTAGAAAATATGTAGTAATTAATGAAAGAAGTTTAAACACACCAATTGGGGCTTATTGCGGCAAGTTTTTTAGATATGACCTCGCATCAAGTCGTCTTTTGTGTTAATTTGTAATCTTAACTGGTTTTGTTGTGTTGTGTCAATTAGTTAAATTAAGCGGTACATCCAATTGGGGCTTATAAACATTTTAATTCTCCTTAAAAATCTAAGGGCATTTAATCAGGATTTTAAGTGATTTTTTAAAGTTTAAGGGGTAATCGATCATGATTTTTAAGAAATTCATACATTCCAAATGTATTCATTTAGAAATTGATTCGAAGAGATTTTTAAAAAGTTGGGAAACTCGAAAAAATTAGAAATATTTCACATAATATTTTAAACATTCTCAAATCGCTCCCTGAAAATTTGAGGGAATTCACTTAAAATTTTACATAAAAGTTTTAAAAATTATTAAACTTCATCAAAATTCATAAATTTTTAAATCTATTATAATCCTTTAAAATCTGAATGGAATAAAAAATTCAAATCTAAACCTAATATGAAACAATCACTAAATTACATAGAACTTCTAAACCAAATCTAACAAGGATCAATTACAATTCTAATACGATGTGTAATTACTTGGAGTTTTTTAGGGCAATATGTAACACCCACCCCCATTTATAAAGATATATTTGTGTAATTATCCCCTAAACATTTTAATATATCAAATTGGTCCTCTTTGACTACCCAATCAGGATCCAAAACATTGGATCCCTTTCTTTCTGAAGTGGCCACGTGGCACCCCCCTTCCACTCTTCTCTTTTCTCTCTCTGTTCCCCCGTGACTCCCTTCTTCTTTTCTGTTTTCTTTTCTTTTTTTTCTGTCTCCCTCTCGGCTCTCTCTCTCATATCTCCCTCATCTCTCTTCTCTGCACCGCAGCACACACGCACCCATCCCCCTGCACGAGGAACATCACCATCACCCTTCTCCCTCCTTCCTCATTCCCACAACTTTTAATTATTTTTCGCTGTCTCTCTCTCTCCTCCCTGCTCGTCACTCTCTTCAGATCCCAGTCTCTCTGCAAATCCCAAATTCCCGGTCGCCCCCTTTCTCTCTCTCTAAAATCCATTCCGTTAGGGAATCAAAATCTCATCTTGTTCATTCACATACAAACCCCACACACATATTTATAGATCTACTGCTCCTCCTCCCATGGCTTCCATCGGGAATCAAAATCCGCCGCCGCAGCAGCAACCGCCGCCCTCGGGCGCTGCTACGTCATTTCTCGCCGCTTCCACTCCCTCGTCCCCCAAGTCGAAAACGTTGTCGTCCGTGTCGACTGCTCCGCCTCCTCGTCTTCCTCCTCCGACAAGTCTCGGACCCCCTAGATCGGAGTCTATCGTCCTGTTTTACAGTCGGCCGGAGCTGTAGAAGCTCCGGCGTTCTTCTCTGAGTAACAGTTCAAAAAATATCGCGATATTTTTCCGAAACCCCCTTGGATACCACTTAAAATATCGGTTGGGGGAAAAACCGATAATATCGGCGATATATCGCCGATATTATCGATATTTTCTTCACTGGTCCAAATCATGTGCACAATACAAAAGTTTATTTATTTATTGACAACCATGTTTTACTCTAGGGAATGAGATATTTTACTCAAAGGAACGGAGATTAAGTTAAGTCACACAATAAACGAATCAGTGATTAGATATCAAACTCAATGTAAAGATTATACGTTCTCGTTATTCATCCGAGTGAAACTTAAGATCTGTCATTTACATGTACATAATACACTACTAATTAATAACAAAATAATAAATCATATACTATAATTATTCACTAATCCATTTGAGATTGACTGGATTATTTTGTTGCAACATCTATCACGGCCCGTCCCAAAAATGT